AAGTAACAGGAAAACACGATATTATTGCTGCTAGACTTAACACTTATTGTTGTTTGTAAATCGCGTACCTACTGAGAGTTACATGTTTACGTAAAACATTATTTTCTCAGAAATTACAATATTTTGTCACCGATTATTGTTGTACCTATGTTGGTAAAGTTAGGGTTTTTATGTCTCTGTTGAATAATGTCATTAAATGTCCTTCACACTGACAGTTATATCATTAATACTTCTACGATATTTAACTATGTACGACACTAGGCGTACATAAAATGGTCTAGTAAAACCGGATTTGAAAGAGCATCGCCACGGACGTACGGTCCGACCTCGGCTTGACTCACTGGTCGTACATACATACATACATACATATAATATTACATACATACCTCCCTACTTACTATTTAAATTACTAATGCATATTTATTTTAATTTTATTGAAGGTTTTCTCGACACGTAAGCTTGTAAGTTGTAACCTAATTACTGAAAGTGCTCTACTCTAGTTAATAGAAACATTATTGTCCTTACTACCTACATCGTCCTACCTTTGTCTCGAAACCGGTCGTAGGTTTTCTGAAAGAGGAGTGTCGTGATTCCTTTTAAGGAAATGGTATCTCTACCGTCCACCTTGATGGTATAGGAGAAAAATAACTGAATTGTTAAGTAACTATGTAGGATCCATATAACTTGATCTATATCTGAGCAGGCCAGGTAAAGCTAAATAATTTTGAATTATGTCCATGTGAATGTAAGTAAGTTGTAAATGGACACCTAAGCATTAGTACAACCAATGGCTCGGTTTGCTTTAGACAAAAGGCACATGACAAAATAGTGTAACCTAATAGTTTTTCTGTTTCAAATATCTCCAAAAACAGTCAGATAGTATTTAGTTAACTAACTACTTAAAATTCTCATGTACGTACAATACGCCTAGGCTTATGTAAAGTAAACGGTATTAAACTCGCCCAGACGACAAGACAGACAGATGTGAATAAATGACATACACAAGGAATTACCTAGGTACTTGTAAAATGTAACCTAGTAGCATCTTGAAAACTTCTGGCCTTCAGAAACCTAATAAAATCAGGTAGGCAATTTCTAAAACACTCAATCATGAGATCACGCACGTGCAAACTGTATCTTGTCTTCATTACACTTTGTGTGTATGAATTTATTCAATTATTTCATTTCTGCTGGCTAGTTTGCAGTTTCGGGTAAGCAATGCCGACTCGATTAAGTGATATTTCATTGCGTGTTGTACGATAAATGTCCAAAGCACTAAAAGATGCCGAATTCCTGTGGTAAAAAAACAAATGGTGTTCACCGGAGCGATGCGTGTCGCAACTTGGACGTGGAGTCCAGTCTAGAATCGATTTGACAAATTACGTAAAAGACGGTTCGCTGAAAGTAGAGCAGCAGCAATCACACCGAGGATTTCCACGAGTTTATTTACCATGACGAATGCAAGTGAGCGTGCATTCTTGTTTTAAAGTGATCTCGAGACTTACTTAACTATTTACAAACAAAGTCATTCAAACGTCTTTGTCAAGGTTAAACGATTTAATGTATATTCTTTGATGATCTCAGTATTTTATAGTGGTGATAGGTAATTAGGTAACAAGAATTGATAAAAAAATCTGCTTGTTATCGATAATGTCACGTCATTCAATATCAGCGTAGGTAATGTAGATGAGCACTGGAATCAGAAAGTCAATGGACAAAGAAGCCCTAAAGGCAGCCGCGATAATATTCATAAACTTGTTATAATAATCCTATAACGATAAGCTGTTTCAAAACCGTCCATTTATACTATAAAAATAGGTAGATAACTAGTTACAATAGCCAGTATAAAATTGATGATTTTCTTCGTGTATAGTACGGCTGGCGAGAATGAATATTATAAACACAATTCCACAATAGTGCTAATGAATGATAGATAAAATAATATGTAGGTCATCCAGCTGTTGTTTCCAGTGTCGTTATGCTGATCCAATCCATACATTTTCATTGTAGAGCCGAAACAGGTGTACGATGTCGAATATATTTTCTTTCAGACTTACGAATTCGTTTTCCGATATCGGACTACGCGACAAAATATATTTTGTAGCATTTATCTATCAGGGTGGGTTTTACATACATATGCAATGAATAAGCTTACTAGTAAGTAAATTGCTAAAAGATCGGGTGTGTTTCGTCAGTAATTCGTATCATAGAATTGAAATGAGATTTTATTTCAAAATGTTTGTAATCTTAATTTAGTACCTAATTTCGACATTGATGATAAAAACACTGTGTGTATGTGTACTATCACACATTTAAATAGTTATTATGTAGGTAGGTACTTAATCAGCTTATGGGGTACATTACTCAAGTACTTAATAGTTATGTAGCATGGATATAAGTGGGATTCACTCTGTAACAGAAAACAACATAATATTTACAGATCACTCTTATCTATGTAATTGCAAAGTTGATAATATACAGCTGTGTATTTTTAGGTAATTCCCAATAATGATAATATACGCATAATCATATCATCTAAGGTTCTTTTAATACAAGTATGTTTTTCAGATATGCTAAAATACCCCTCTATTCTTATTTAAAATTATTCAATTTAACTATGTATGTACTTTTTCAAAGATTTTTTGACATATCAAACAAATTTTGTAGTAATCCAGGAATTACTGAATATCATTGTAGTCCATTTAATTTCATTATAAATAAATAGAGCTTCTAACCAGTGAATTTGGAGATCATTGGGGGAGGCCTATGTTCAGCAGTGGGCGTCTTGTAGATTTTGGTATTATAATGGTCATATAGAACTGAGATGGCAACTGCTTAAATGTCACTAAATGAGAAACAGACTCAGGAAACCGAGGAGTCAAATAAAAATTAGTAAGATTCTTTCCTAAAAATAGTCACATGAATCATTTGTATGACAACTTTTTAATTGTAATTACTCTACGGAATATTAATACTTTTTTTGAATATTACACATTGCCAGTTGCCCCTAACAAAGAATTATTTTTTTTATTTACATCCTCATACCAAAATGAGGCAACAACAGAAATGCGAGAGTGATTCATTACAACACTAGCAAGGCTATAATTATTTTGAAATATGACTAAGTTGATGATAAAATATATTATAGCAAAGTAAATAATTCAAAGAATGTGACTAGGCAATTGGGTTAAAAATATCAATATAGTACAAATTATGTAATATTTACTAAGAATTATATCTAAAGAATGATCTAGATTTGTAATGAAATATAGATAAGAGAATTGCTTTTTATAGGATTATTTCTTTAAAAATAATTTCCTACCAAATAATACAATTTAATACAGCTGTCTATTATTTTATTCTAAACTTTATAAAACGAAATAATAAAAGATAAAAATTATATCACTACAAATAGGAAATTGCTTTTCAACCAATCTATACAATGTCATAGCATTTCTTTGCAAAATCCCAAGCGAACAAGCAAGTATAATAAATATTTCTACAAGATTATACACAGAAAAGATACAGATTTAAAGAATATTAAAATTGATAATATATTAATAAAACAAATTAAAAACATTCGTACATTTAAATAATAAAAGAACAAAGGTTTCTTTTATGCATTTGTAAATAAACAATAACTTAGGCTCAATATGAGATATCTAGTATTATTTGCATAGAATCAACTTTACAATAAATTAAAAAATATAGTACTTACACTACTGTTTACAATAAAAAGCAATACTTAACAAAATTATGTAAAGAATTTAGATTACAATTCCAAGAGAAGTAATCAATTATTTTCAGTCTATCATGTAGAACATTCGTACAAATAACGCTTATTTTATCTTGTATATTTTATGCACAAAGTACACAGATAAACTGAAACAACGTAGTCACCTGAGTGATAGCGATTTCTTTATTTAATAGCAAAATGAAACCAGCTTACCTCGCCTGTTAAAAGGACGAACCCGAACGGCTACTTTAATCTTATCCGTGGCCATTTTGACACTCAGATAACACAAATACAATTAAAACACAACACTTAGCACACAATTGTTAAGTAAATTATTGCACATATTCACCCATATTCTAAAACAACAAAATTCATTATTTCACGTTACGATCACGACGTTCCCGGATTGACACTGTCCGCCATGTTGTTTTTACAACGTTCCGTAGTGCTTGACGTATCTTCTGTCTGTCTTGGACAATTTAAGAATTCAATCGATTCACAAATAGTTTGTTCGGACTAGTATCATCCATTTCTTATATTATGAAAAGGATATTTTAGCGCACGTTGTTGTTATTGAAATATACATACATTTTTTGCATAAGAAATTATAATACTTTGGTCTTTAACAGTGGAAAACATCAAAATTTCTATTGTTTTGTAATTTAATTTTGCAGTCCTGCTTGCAAAAACCATTTTAAGAAGATATAAAACGTATTTATATGTTCTAAATATGTTGTTCCAGATGTTTTTAAGCAATTGGTAGTTTTATTTTCGCACGTATCTTAAGGTCTTTCTATATAAGTGTTAAGATTGTAGTTTTCACAATGGTTAATCGATTATAATTTAAATCGATTACAAAATATCTGGTGCATCACTATTTGGTAATGTTACCACTGAAAAATATTTTGAGTAATTACAATCCTACGATTATCGGAATTTTATGAGTATTCAAAGTTTTAAACCGTATTCTGGCTTTTTTAGGTAATTGTAACTTCTATACAATACGAAATTTCAAATATTTTTAATCAAACACATAGTTTTTCTACCAAAAGATTAGCAGTGTAAAGAAACGCCACATGTTATGACATAACAACACCGGCTCAATCGAGATGTCAATTTGACAACCGCAGCAAAACATGACCAGTCAGTTTCAATTTCTCAGGAGTAAAAACAAGAAATCTCACAAATAAGACACAGAAAATAAAGATTACTTAGAAGTACGCTAGATTTTTTTCTTACAGTATAATTTAGCAAATTCTTACCAATGGCAGACGCATTATTTGGTTGGGATTTAACTTTTAAGACCGTGGAGAAAGACATAAAACGCAAATCTGATGTTATCATTGCATTTGTTCATTGGAACCTAACGAAGAAGGGATTTAAGAGTATTGGAATTGGAGATGAGGTAAGATAGTTACGCATTCTAAAAAATGAGTCAGTGAGTCATATAGGGCACGTATATTGAACTACGCATACTAATCTATTATGACTAAATATGAAAGTAGGTGTAACTTCTGTCTCACTTATGTGATTGAGTTCCGCATAGTTCGTCACATCCCAGCAGCAAATGACAATTCCATTGATTCGATAACCATACTAGATTATTTAGGCATGTTTTAGTGATCAAAAATGCCTTATAAGAAAAAAGATTCTAATATACTTAGAGACTATAGCCAGTATATTTTTTTAAGGGTTAACAGTTAAGGGAAATAGTGTTGGATTGTTAATATGCGCACATAACACAATACCTATTGCCTAGCTGAGATTCTCAGATAGAAGAATGAGTGATTGTTATCATTTCAATCAAAATTTTATTTATTAACTACCTACTCACTAAGAATAATAAAACTATATTTTTCTTTCAGAGGACATTATCTGGAGATGAAGAAAAAAGTGAACTGTTACCAACTGGCTGGAATGATAAGGAAAATTATGCCCTGCGATATGTTCTCAATAACAAACTATTTATTCTGCATGGATTGAGTACTGATGGCAATCTCATCATCAATCTCATGGTAATTAGTTTTTTCAGTGTACTCTAATCTCCACTGGGCCCTTGTTTTTTTCTAATTTAATTTTACGTTATCCAAGTATAATAAAACTATCTTTGTTTAGATATTCAACCTCCTTACATTATGTTGTAAATTATCTGTGAACTCTCATAAATGTCTGTTAATTTGACTTTTTTCAAATGTCATAACTGGTCATATCATAACATACCCATATTTACAAACATGGATATCTTTTATCACACAAACCATGGGTTAGCCACTTGACTGCCATTTTATGAGACACAATATAAAAAACATTGTGTCTCACATGGATCCGCATTCTAGCAAACCATAGGTTAATCTTACATTGTAATACATTAAATAGAAATATCTGAAGAATATCATGTCATTACAGAGATCAGAAGATTTGGCAGTGTCCAATATAGCTATAAAGATAGAAGAGACTGTGAAGGATTTATGTGGTCCTATTGATAAGATTATGCCCAATCATAAGGAGTTAATATACAATGTGAAGCGGGATTTAATTGACATAGTCACGGAAAGATCAACTTCTAATACTGAAACTCAAACTTCAAGGAGTAAGTACAACACAATCTTAGACCTTTTTCTAACCCATTCTTTATTATAAACAAAGATATAGTTATGAAATAAAACTATTTGCTTAAACGTTTTGTTAAGTAGATATCTCGAGAATAATCCCACAATTAGGCAAATTCTATTTTGTTCAAGGATTAATTTAACAAGTAGAATATCTAATTATGGTTGTATTAGGTTTACATACTTTTAAGTCTTTATTAAGAAATTATTGTACAAGTCATAATGTCTATTAACTATTTTCCATTTATTCATGAATATATAAATGGAAAATAGTTAATATACATATGTGATTATTTATTTAAGTGAAGTATATTTACACCTAGGTGTTAATACTTTTGTTGACAACTTAGACTTGTTATGAAATGTAGTGATAATTAATAAAATAACATCACAACTGTTATTAGTGCAGGAATGTTCTTTAATCACTTGACATATTGTACCCAAAATTCCTATAATTTGTTCATACAAAAGTAGTCTCTAAACATCGGCAATAAGGTCTAACAGAGTTAGTGGAGAGCGGTCACCAATGACCACTTAGGGATTGAACTATTCAAATAATAACACATTTTCTGCTGTTAAAAACATAGTACTATTTGATGCTCAAACTTTTAATGTAAAGCAAAGAACTACAGTACAAGGTTATTGAATGTTCTTCTAATATATTTTGCATATTACTCTATACATATACTTATACATTTTATGCATACATATTATTATGTACATAATACACTGTATAAATTAATAACAAGTTTGCATATAATATAAATGTTTTGATAACTTTCACCTTTCCTAATTAATTGCATCTGGAGGTCAGTCTCTCGATGGAAAATAACCGAATGATATTATCTGTCATTCAAACACACAACGGTATCAGGCTCTTCATTTGTTATTCAAGTTTAATGAGTCAACTAAGGAAAACAGGTTATTGGATTGGATCGTAAATAATATGGCATTGCAGTCTGTCAAGATTCTAGTAAAATATTACTGAATAGCGATTTTACATTCAATATGATCTTGTCTCTAAGTGATGTGTTAGTGCTAGTTACACTTGGGGTATTGTTTACCTTAAGTGTAAAAGGAGGTAAGGCATAATTATCATAAGATATATTATTACTGTAAATCACATTGGAGAAGAAGTAATTGTTGTTTATCTTAAACTGTCAAACACCGAGCAGTCACCGGTGACCGCAACCTATAATTGTGTCTATAATATAGTTATTAATATTATATTAATATTTAACTTGTTGAGTCGGTACTCAACGAGTTAATATTACTTGTTTTGTTAATTATATTACTTGTTTCTACTTTGAAATAGATTCTGTTACATGCAATGCCTATTACTATACAAAATAACCTGTTACTCTCTAATTTCAATACCTTTTCGAAACTTGATTTGGTTTTAATAGCAATTTTTAATTGTTTCAGGTGAATCAACTACAAGGAGGCCACCAGAAGATCCACTAAGGGTTCCACCCCGGCCTATGCCTGGTGTGAACCCCGACACCCCAGACCTATGGTATCTTTAAGTAAAGCCCTTGGCTGATTACTTTTTTTATTTTACTTTTAAATTGTTCCAAAGGAGATCTTTTATTCAGTTTTTAGGTCTAGTCTGGATGAATGGATAGTGTAATTTAATTGATTCTGTATGGTTCAAGTGGATTTTTCTATTTTCATGTATTTGACAATTTTAAACTTTGGGAAGTTAGATCTTTAAATTGTAGCTCGAATCTGGATTATTGAATAGTGAAACTTACCTAATTGATTATGTATGTTTCCAGGGGAATGCCACCACCCCGTCTGTCAAACATTGGCAGTTCTGACCTGGATCCGTTTGCGCCTGGCGGTGGCGGCATGCTATTCAACCCTTTTGAGCCTCGCCGAGACCTTGAGAATCCTGGTCTGGGTATACCTGGCGGCTTACCAAGGTTAGGATATTTTTTGTTATTTTCATACCACTATTCTATGCAATGTCTCTTAACTTATTGAGCATTCAGCAAATAAGTGTTTTTTTTATAAAATAATAAAACATCTTTTTAGAATAATTATCGTGAGACATAGTGAATTAACCGAAAACTACCAGTTACATAACATAACATCACGCCTTTTATCCTAGAAGGGGTAGGCAGAGGTGCACATTATGCCAATGTAACACCCACTTTTCACTATTTATGTTATGAGTCCCATGTAATAGGGCGGTTGGCGGTTGTCTCCGCGACCACACACGCTGCTTACGAGGAAGAGTTCCTCTGGGACTCGAAAAAAGTAGAGATTTTCTCAGCATATTTACGTGAATAACTCGTAATTTTTAGTTAATTTAATAAAACATTGTTTAGATACAAGATGCGGGGCATTGGAAAGTCTACAATGTCGATTATTAACCACCTTTAAAAACTAGGAGAATATTTGATACAAATGCAATAAGAATGTCACCATTTGTCGTTTTATTATTTAAACTAACCGTGGTTTTTCAGAGGGGCTGTACCACCGGGAGCTCGTTTTGATCCCTTCGGTCCACCTGGCGGTCCCATGCCTGGTCGCCGGCCAGCACCGCCTGATGCAGATCACCTACCGCCTCCCGGCTTCAATGACAACATGTTCATGTAGTTCATTTTATAACTATTACTGTATTTTATGTTTGTCCACATCATAAATATGAATAAACTTAATTTGAAAATATTAAATAGTGTTTCTTTGAACTGTAGAATGAAACTACTTTTTCTGTAGTTATTCGATCGTCAGTCAGTTCTCCTGTACAATAGGAGTAGAATGGGCTGAAATATAAAATAGGTACTTACTTGATTTAAAATACTTGATTGTCACGTGGTTAACTCACAAATCTAACTCATGAACGACTGCTAGCAAACTTTTGTTGACTTTTATTTTCAACGTTAGTCAACCTTTGACTTGTTGAAATTATGGAAATCGTAAAAATGAAATCTTTAATAGTATTATCAGCAGCGTTATAGAGTTCTAAAAACCAATCGAAGTTTTAATGACTTGATGTATCGTACGAAAAATCCACAACATTTGTTCATACAAAAGTAGGTAGCCTCTAAACCAAAAACATCGGAAATAAGGTCTACAATGGAGTGAATGGAGAGCGGTGCGGTCTACTATCTTACTTACGGTACCTACCTACTCCACTGTACTCCATCCAGTTTTAAATGTTCCCGCCAAGCGCCATTACAATAAACTTCATCATAAGTATGCCTGTATAGATTAAAAATAACTACCAAAAAAGTGGTTAATATTATTATTTCAAAGTCTAATAATTTTATCATAGATGTATCAAATTTAAATTGTTATTTAATTCTATCAACAACAAATGCTCATCAGAAGCAGCCATTAATCATTTGTATTAATTTTATTCAAATAAATATTGTGAAACCAGATTGTTTTGACTGAGTTTCATAAAATATTTAACCAAATACTTTAAGAAAATGTTAGTAACGAATAAATCCTGAATAAAAGCTAAAAAATACACAATAATAATTAATGTCATTTTTTACCAATTTGATATTTTTCTTTTCAATTTTGTTAGTAGGTACAATATGGCACGCCACTGGCAACACCACAGTTCAGTTTAGCAAGTTAATTGTGCTGTGCACACGTTTCCCGCGTGTGTAGTGAATTTCCTTGGCTGCTCACGGCTGCAACCGTTCAATTTCTATTCAATGTGTATGGCTGTGAAGGTAAGTTACACTTTTACTATGTCAAGTACGCTTACAGTCATAATATTCTGATAAAATTACTTTAAAGGTCGTGCCCTCGATGAGCGACAAACGTCAGCAGGCGTCACGAAACTATTTAAAATTATAATACAATTTGTATTATCCTGTTGTTTCTAGCGTCTGCAGCATTAACCACTTAATTCGCTTTAATTATAATTTAAGGCGCGGTTATCATAATTTACAAGGTTCCCACCCTGCAATGGAATTTCAATTTACTACATACCCACCTTGGTTGTCTTACGCGTGCTCTTTTTCATTGTTCGAAACCTAATTCAGCCTACCAAATCGCCGGTCGATATACTGATGTCGTATTGTCGAGTGAGTCACGCAATATTGTAGATATAAAAAGTTATGATGTTGCTGTACAGAACATTTGCAACCTAATCTGTCTAGATACTTAGGTAGGTACTTGTTGGAGGTAGGTAGATACTTAGGAGTTCTAGCTATGTTTGATAGGGAAGTGAAGTTGGTGCAATGTTGTGAAACTTCAAGTCACAACAAAACCAGTGTTGTCCACAATTATTATTCATTTGCAAGTTTCTGCAGTTTTATATTTAGCTGTAAAATTAGGTCAGACTGTTGGAATTTACTTTAATAAACAAGTGCTTGGCTACAGTGATGATCAACATGTTGCATCAATCCCAAACATCCTTTTTAATTATGGGAATGATGGTGAAATTATTTGCAACTTAATGTTCTCAACAACAAAGAAAGTTTTTGATCTAGTTTTTTTAACAAACCTTTCATAAGTATGCATTGTTTTTTATGAAATGTTATTGATATAGATATACAAATGTTTTTAAACAATAATCCAGCAAAGCATTGAATCTTTTCCTTATTCGATTTATAATTTATATTTAATTCTTACTTTAATGTTTATAAAGAGTTTGATTGTCACCCCACTAATTTATAAACTAAGCTGAGACAGTATGATTGTTTCCATTTATAATGTCCATTGTCTTTTGATTCACTTTGTTCATACTAGGCTGACAGTAGTATTTTATGCACCCATAAATTTGTTTGTACTATTAGCATGATTGAATCTGAATGTCTGCACTAATGCAAAGGAAATTATGCTATTAATCCGCGAAGAATCTTTGTTTATTGTTTTGCTATGAAGGTTGTAAGAAACAATTACCTCTGTCGTTTCGTACAGTATTCAGCCCGGGTATTTGTAAGAACTTCTGCAGTTCTTTTATATATCATTATTTTGAAATACTTTGTTCCATAAATGACTACCCTCCTTGTACGTAAATATTAATAAATCATTATAAAACTGTCACAGTTTGGTCCAATTCTTCACTCTTTCATTCAAAATGGTGGCCAAACATGTTTACAAATAAATGATCTGATCCTTGGAATGAAAGGCATGCTACCTGACATTCATTGGAATGTTTTTCTATTATTTATTTTTTGTTGTCTGCTCACAAATTTTACCTGAACTTTTTGATTGATAAATGGAAGTTTTTCTATTAGTATAATGACATTCGTTATTGGATTTGAAACTGGGATTTTTAAATGAATAGTTTAATTATGTCATTTACGAGTTACTGTTAGGTCTAGTCAATTGACGATCTTTCTAGAAACTTGGAAAGAAAAAACGCGTGGGTACTATTTTTTTTTTTTGAATAATGAGCAGTATTGACGTCACTAGTACTAGTCTACGTAAACACAAATTGCTTGTCCATTATATTTCCTATACTGGAACCGAACTGCAACGTTAGGTAGTTAGGTAGGTAATTACGTCAGAATTGCATAATGCGGTTTATCGATAAGTTGTGAAACGTGGGCTACAGTCCGCTCATTGTTTTAACACAGCATTTCATGCACGTGTAAAGTCTAAAATGAAATGTCTAAACGCGTACGGCAAAACTCGTACATCTCGTTTTGCTATGTCAGTTTTGCTTCGTTTCACTGATGTTAGTGCACAGCTGCCGTTTACGTATGGCGAGATAAACGTCGCCATGTATCCTTATGCAGTATAAGACCTTGATGCAATATGATCCCTTTGAAAACCACACGACCGACGCAGTCTAAGAACCTTTAATAATTTATGTTTATGCTAAACAAGGCACTGAAGTAGGCAGATAACATTTTACTAGCATAAAATTTACATTTCATAGCCCATTTCTACTGGGGTATCTGTAATCCTTCAAATGTAATGCGGGCTACAGTATTATAGGCATTCCGTTATCAGCCGAATGCGCGTTAAAACTGATCAACTGTAGAGTGTAGATTGATATTTGACACGAGATTTTGTGTCTGCAAAAGTGGTGATAAAATTAGGTACTTACTACCTATTTCAATAATATTTTGCTTGCCAAGGTAGGCCTATCTTGAAGTACCTTTAAACGTAACCATAGTGAGCTTTGTACATTATAATGTACCTACATTATTGACGTAATGCACCAGTATAATATGTCAGGATTCCCGGGATAGTGCGTCGACCCGGCCTTGGCTAGCGTATGTTGACCCTGCGCAAGCGCTGGTCCGTTACCCCGACCACGTACGTTCCCGCCTGACTACTCGCAGAGTTTGAAAGAGGCCACACTTTTATACCGATTCCATCTTACACCGCCTTTGCCAATAACCAATAGTTTCGTTAACATCATTATTCTAAATCAGTTCAACTAGCGATAAGAATAAAATTATTGCCAGACTTGTATTTTGATTTTGTATTTAGGTGATGTATTATATTAGTTCCTCAACCTTGCTACGTGATTCAAATGTTTATTAATTCACAAGTAAAATAATTAAATCGTTGTACCTTATATCGACAAACAGATGCCTGTACTAATTCTTAGAAACTGAATTTATTACTTTGTAGGTATATGGTAATTTTGTCAGATCCAAAACGTTTGCGCACATTGTGTAATTAGTAAGTGATTCTACCATCGAATGTATTTAAGAAAGAATTTGTTGACTCAACGTTAACCGTTGAGTCATCAAATTAATAGGCTTATAAACCGAACACCCTTTAAACTGTCAAACACCAAGCGGTCACCGGTGACCGCGACCTATTGTTCTTTAATTGTGTCTATAAAACCGGTACTCGACGAGTTAATAAATAATAATTAACTATACAGATTTTTGTCGAAGAATTTCTTGTCCTACAGTTAGACTACTATTCACATCCACACAATTATAGAATTTCCGGAAAACACCTCTCAGACTTGCCTTAAAGCTGTTAAATGGCGTGGCTATTAAGCGCCACCCGTCTCGGGGGGAAGTGGGCCGCTTGACAAGCGATATCTACGTAGTACGTAAGTACGTATAGAAAAACTCGGGCTATTCAGCAAGGGCTAAGGTCGTTGCTCCGAGTTCCTTGCATAGACGGGCTTTTGAACCATAGGGCGACGCACTCAGCCTTGTCCTTTTGTCACTATCGTAACGCATTAATTATTCACATGATTGATTTCGGTTCAACTGAAACCAGTTTTGATTCGATTACTTATAGAAGCTAAAAGAATTTTCTAGGTCGTGAACGGAAGAAAACAAGCAAGCAAACAGTCGTTTATTGTTTTTTTTTGTTTTGTACTATAGGTACTAACTAAAATGTAACATTTGTTGAAAGGACAAACTGTATGAATAGTCATCGATGTTAGTTTTATTTTTATTGTCGCCCTTTGTCGATTCGGCCTTTTCATTAAAACTTGGTTATCGGCATTTTGCAAGGTACGAGAGTTAGTTTAAGACTTTCTATTATAATGTAGCATTAAAATTGCATTGTAAAATTACTTAAATCTATTCATAATCGTGAAGTGCAGGTAAAGGGGGTCAGAGAGGCGAAGTAGTGTGCTCGGTTGGATCCGGGTCACTGAGCCAGGTCGAACCAATGTGTTACCACGGTCAGGACTCCTTACTTTGTATAAT